CGCCTGGAACCAGAGCCATTACCTCCGTGTTTGCATGTTATTGTTCCAATTTTCCAGCCGCTGAGCAGCAAACAACCTGAAATAGCAGGGTTACTCATTAACGGCCTTATCTGGATGATCTCCATGCCTTACACCACCCGATCTGTCACCTGCACAAGAGGCAGTTAGTGTGTGTGTGTGTGTGTGTGTGTGTGTGTGTGTGTGTGTGTGTGTGTGGGTGTGTGTGCGTGCATGTGTGCGTGCGTGCGGACATATGTCACGTATGTTTTCAGAGGATTACGCCAGCCTCCATGTGATGGGAAGGTAGAATGTGTGTGTGAGAGGTGATGACCGGAAGTAATGTTCAGAGTTGAATCCAGTTATCAAACCTGCGTTTTAGGAACATCGTAACTCCAATTAAGGTGATTTCAATGTTTTAACCTTGTATAATTGAGGCTAATAAAGTTTTTCATTGAAACGACTGTGTGGGAATACAGGTATTGTTTGTGTCCCACGTGCACGTCCTCCACACACAGCTGTGCAAAAGTGTGTGCCGCTATCAGAGTACAGGCCCAGGGTCAGCTTTACACTGATAAACTCCCAGTAACAGCTGGCTCAGAAAACGCTTGTAAAGTTCAAACCACATGCCATTTCTCCAACATCTGACATATGACAAAAGATTCTCAGATATGACTTCCTGAATCTGAATCCTCAGTGCTCTCCTCCAGCTAAATAGTATAGCATTCATATCTAGCAAAATTAGCCTCCAAAGCCCTGATTTTTACAAACTTGGTATTTCTGCTGTTAAGTTTCAGCTGACCGGAGGAGATGTATTGATTTTTTTTCAACACTGATTGGAGTATTTGTTGCAACTTAAAAACCAATCAATCAATGCACATCTTAAATAATCAGTATTCCCTTCCCCTTAATCTCAACATTTTTCTTGTTCAAACAAAAGTAATATGGTCCGTGTCCCAAAACTATTACCTATTTATTTTATCAAAGCCCTTTTCCTGCTGTAATTAGACAATGGTGCAATAAGAAGCAGTCTAATCTAATCGAGCAAACAATGCAAATGGCGGTTTGGATGCAATCAGTACGTAGGGCAAAACCATTTCCATCAACTATCAACACTATCACAACCAAATCATGACATTATGATTGGTCAGAAAGCCTTAGGTGTTTTGATCAGCAGAGAATGGTGGACATTTTCTGAAATCAGGTCAAACGTTCATGGTTTAATATGGTTAAAAATATGGAAAATAATTTAAATGCTGGTGCTTTGACTTTAATGTACCTTGATCAAGGAAATTCTATCATTTTATCTTTTTATCCCCCCATTGTTCCCCCATTGAATTGTTTCATTCAAACATCTTAAGTAGCCTAAAAGAGCCAAACTAAAGTATTTCACATTCACATTTCAGTATTTCTCTGGTTTAATATTGCCATGCAGTTAGAGTGAACACCTCACAACATAAGGAAGCTTTGAAAGGAAGCTTTTACCCTCACACCAAAACCAGGCTGCATTTGCTGACCGATTTCAAAATAAAAATTCTTGTAGGTGCTGCACACCAGCAAAATGTCAACAAACTGGCCCGCTGACCAGTTTCCTAATGGTCAAGCATGTGTACTGTGAGTGAGCAGTGTGTACACCTTCCTGCCTCACTGACCAGGTACACTTAGTGATAACCAAACCTTTCCAATGTTGTCCAGAGTTAGTGGCACAAGCATGAAAGCTGCCTTTCAGTGTAGTCTTTTGAGGAGATTCAGGTGAACTTGTTTTGCTCACTTAGTGTGTGTGTGTGTGTGTGTGTGTGTGTGTGTGTGTGTGTGTGTGTGTGTGTGTGTGTGTGCGTGCGTGTGCGTGCGCGCGTGTGTGCGGATAACCAGTCTGGTTTCCCTTTTAATCTCTCTCTTTCTAGAATATGTTGGCATGCCTGCTGAGTTTTTCTCTGACAAGGACAACAGGCTCAAATTCTCTGAAAACAAGCCTGCTGCATTTGTAGATGGACAGAATAAATGACTGGTAACATTAGAAGACACAAAGAGCAGTGTAAACACATTCAAAGAGATGAGGGGTGAAGTGAAGACAAGAAAAATGACCAAATTGGGTGAAACTGAGAACTGTGAAGTGAAGCAGTTTCATGAAGCGGGAAACAATGAGACGAGACCGCATTCAGTACGTCTCATGAAGTGATCTGTTTCAGCTAGCAGTCTGACTTTCATCTGAGTGACAGGTTTTACACAATTAGACTCAAGAACGTTTCTATACAATACAATTAACAAGAAACCTGTTTGATAAAGGTTTGAGACTTGCTAAATGTAGCTGTTAGTTAGCATTCATTCACAAACATTGTTCAGAGTTACAGTTTCACTGTTTTTCCCAGAGTTTTCTATAGACTTACATTGGGGGAGACATGTTTCAATCATCAGGTAAATCAACTGCAGTTTCAACACTAAAATATACCTAAAAGTTTTTTTTTAAATGCACTATTAGCCAAATCCAGAGTTATTTCCTATACAGTAAGCACACAGAACAGTTGTTGATGTAACCAGCTTTTCTTCTGCCATAAACAGGTGCATCCAGTGCCAAGTAAGAACTAATATGTTGATGAAGCGTAGTAAAATAAGGTGTTAGGACAGGAAAGCATCCTTAGCTTAAACAACGGAGTCAGTGTTGTCTCTTGTTAATATTAAACCATGGCAACAGTCCTAACCTAATTTTAGCCAAGTTCAGTTTGGCCAACGGATTTGAATAAGACACCAATCCATAAACAGGCTTTCTCTGTTTAGCACAGGACTTTGTTGGCTGTCAAAGCACAAACACTCTACTCTACAAACACTTTTGTAGCTTTAACAGTTTGAAAAGAGAAAGAGTTGCTTGCCTCCCACCTGCCAGAGTGTGACTCCTGGCCAATCAGGGACTGACACACTGATCCTGGCTGTCCATCCTGCCGGGGTCGTGACCTCAGCTCCGTCCCAGGACTCTGTGCATCACGTCCCAGCCTGGCCTCAGCTCTGGCTTCGTTCCACAGCTCATTTTGACTGTACATCAATCAAGCCCACGCTGGAAATATCATTGATGTGTGTCTGTGTGTGGTGTTTAAATACAAATTGTTTGTATACCAAAGCCAACAGATTTGTTCCTGATGTGCCAGACACACATCCCATTAAGCCTTCACAGCCCATAAGTAATTTACATCACAAAGACAGAATCCTTTTTCATTTCACTGCACAGGTTTTACACAGTGAATCGCCTCAGAGCAGAACAAACTGCAGATTTACCAAAGAGGGAACTCAGAAAAATGCAGCTGTTTGCAGAGTTGTTACTATCAAAGCTGGAGCTGTAAGATCTGTTGGAGCCGAATCGACTTTAATTTGCCAAGACTGAAAAGCATAGCAGAGGAATATGTTCTTTCAAACTCTCCCATGTAACCAGGTGTTTTCAATTTATCTCCTTTTCTCTCTGAGTCCTCTTGGCCTCCGTCAGCTTTAGACAAACTCAGGGAAATTAAACGTCAATTGGAAACAGACCCCTCGAACACGTATCACCAAGGGACCATTGAAGGAGGCGGGGCAAACAGCGACTGCCATTAGCGTGACTATTAAACCAAGAATCACAGAGGTGATGTTATGAAAACTGTGACAACCGTGCATGTACTGTCAGTTGGACGAAATTACACCCAAATGTTCAGTGCAAACTCATGCATCTGCACACACAATTATATGTATCTGTGAAGTAATACAAATACACTGTAAACTAGCAGAAATGTTAAATAAAATACATCTATAATGATTTTTTTGCTTTCATTTGTTTCATTTGAAACTTTAGATTTTTTTTTCTGTTGATGGATTTGGCCATATTTTCTTGTACGGCTGGCGAAAACTTTTCTCCTGCTTATTACTAAGCAAAAATCTCTGTCCACGATCATGGGCTCCCTCAAATGACAGCCAATAAATGAGTTTGCTTAGTAATAAGCAGGAGAAAAGTTTTCGCCAGCCGTACAAGAAAANGTTTTTCCCAGGACTCTGACTGGACCGTTGGTTTATGTGACAAACAGTCTGACAAAAAACGTCATGGATGGACCGGTCTATGGTCTGCGCTGCGAAGATAATAAGCTCAGCTCTCTCAACACAGAGAATGAGGTATTCATCTGATACATCAGTCAGTTCCACAGGGATGCAGACACATTTCATGACCCCAACAAAGAAAAAACACAACGTTTTCTCTGCACTACTCACACAAAATGGAGATGAGGCAGCACCACGACCTGAAGCGGTGGAAGTGTTTTGGAACTTTGTTGGCTCCTCGCTGTCCTTCTTCAGCAGAACCGGACAGCACCAGAGGGAAGAAGTAATCACAATAAAGGCGACTCCCAGCAACTGGGACCTGGCACCCTTCGTTCAAGTAGAAAAGAAAAACGGCCAAAATATCCAACAGAACCCATGGCAATGCACATGTGGGAAGGCTTACAACTATTACAAAAATCAATACCGTGATGGAATGCGCAACTACAGCCCTCATCAAGATCAGTGTTCCTGTGGAGCAGTTATTGGGGGCGTTTGCATCACAGAGGTGGTTTGTGAGTTTCTGTAATGGGTCGGAAAATGCTGATCATTGAACAAAGCTCAGAAGTGCAAGTATCTGCTTTTATTGGATTCATATAAATGTAATTGATGATATGTTGACTTGCTGTCAAATGTAAATATAGTGCCTTTAGTGCAAACAATATGTTGTGATTCTTTATAGTGAACAACTTACACACGGTAGCCAATGTGATCTTCAGCTGTCTCCATGGCAGTGTGTTTTGGGAGTTGGTTATGTTTCTACTGTTTCTGCCTGACAGTTGAAGGTGTTTGTCTCCCTCTAGAGGTGTTGAATGTGTCATTGCTTTCACATTTTTACAGTGATCTGACACTGCATGGTTTTAAATCAAAAAGAAAAGTAATTTTTGTATTTTGTATTCTACTCACATTGTGATTTGTGGATGAACTGATCAACAATAAAGCCATAAAAAGAGTAAGATGTGGAATGCTTTTATTGACTGATTAAGACAAGTGTATTTGAAAAAACTGCATTTCAATTGGACATTTTAACACCAGTGTGACAATAAGCAAAGGAAACAACACGGTTAATGTAGGAGTAACTACACGCTCATGGTGTAAAACTGAAAAGGAATGACCCGTTGATGTAGAGGCTGTAATGATTCATAAATGAATTGTTAATGTCAGCCAACACACTTTGGTACTGGATAACACCTCTGCTGTGAATTCAGCACTTCATTACTATGTACTGTACGCACTATAGTGCTGTGGTCTAGCGTTCAGCATATACTGGTCCAAGTATAAATGCTCCAAACATGTAATTTACCTAGTATTTCTTTCAAATGTGCTTATTAGTTTGTGATTATATCTGAAGTTAAATATTTGACTTTAAAATGACAAATAAAGTGCAAAAAAAGGGAATGTTTAATTTCTAAAAGTATGTTAAGAACTAGCAGCTGCATAAATATTTTGTACTTTCAAAATAATTTAAGACTCGTTTGCTATAATTTTATTATGCGTGTGTGACGAAGTCTGGATCAGGGAATGAAGACTTGCTATAGATCTGTCCATGGACAGCTTCAGATTTGCATACAAATAACAATTTAGGGCCTTTGCATTGGAATGATGAGATACCGGACATGCTAAGAAGCTAACTGCTTTAGCTTTGAAGCTCATATGAAAAAAGTAACATTCAGTCTAACGCGACTCAGAGTGTAACGGAAAATATTTTTGTTCTTGTCAAAGTAAAAACCAATATAGTGATTTGCATTGAACCTTAGCTTATGTAATAAAAACAAGGATGGTAAAAGAACAGTATTAATATTCATGTCGCTGTACATCAGACAGGCAGTGTTGCAGAGTTATACTTCGATCTGAAGCCGGACCCAGCTGGATATTCAGCTGTCGTTGCCGAAGACAGTGTTGAGCTGCTGGGTGACCCTGATGAAGGTGGTCCTGCGGCTCAGCTCCTTCAGTTTGCCTGCCCCGACGTAGGTGCAGGTGGAGCGGACCCCCCCCAGGACGTCCCGTATTGTCACATCCACCGGACCCTTGTAAAGAACTTCCACTGTCTTCCCCTCCGACGCTCTAGAGGCGGAAACAAACAGAGGTTATCATCGGAGCAGTACACACATTTTGTTCCTGTTTACATCAAAATAACTCAGACCTGTATTCAGCCACGCCTCCTGCATGTCTCTTCATTGCTGTGTCGGAGCTCATTCCATAGAACAGCTTGTATTTCTTGCCGTTTTTCTCGATAACCTCTCCCCCGCTTTCTGAGTGGCCGGCCAGCATACCGCCCAGCATCACAAAGTCCGCTCCGGCTCCGAAGGCCTTTGAGACATCTCCTGGGCAAGTACATCCCCCATCCTGAGAGAAGAGAAAACCACACAATGGTTTAAGTGTGACTGTGTTTATCATGGCTGCATTTAGAACAAAAGATAAGGCTGCACATTCACAGGGGAAAATGCACATCAACAAGCCACATTACTCAAGGAAGAGAAGATGAATGATTGATAATTAGATAGATAGCCTCAGAGAGAGAAGTTATTGTTTGCCTAGAGCTAGATAAGAATATTGTTACCTCTCTTGACCACCCTTTTTTGTCAATGTGAACCTTGAGCCATAGCACTAGTTAGGATAAAGCTAAAACTTGAAGCAGGGAACATTTTTTTGAGTTTTGTTAACAGAGCTAGGCTAGATATGTCTAGCATCTAGGCTAAGTCAAGCTATCCTGGTTAGCATGGTAGTAATAATGTTCTCAAATAACGCTGCATTTCCACTGCATTGTACCGGCAATCTTTTATTCACTCGACCCAGATTTTTAAACATGGAAGCCCTTAGCTACTGTATGCTAATGACGAGTGACAGATGTTCCTCTGACGACAGCGATCCCCTATGAACTCAGGAGGCAGACCCCCTTTCCACATCTGAGACGAGACTTAAGACTAAGAAAGCTTTTAGTTAGGGCTGGCTCAGGCTTGCCTTAAACTGTAAAGCTTCTAAATCTGAATGTTGAAAAAAATGTGAATTTAAATCTTGTGCAATCCAATGGTACTACCAGCAGTGGAAAACTCACAGAAAGAGTGAGAAAGCAAAAAATGCCAATATGACACACTGTTACATGTTTAAATCATAGACTGTATACAATAGTTATTATACACTCTATGGGTAAATCCCTGGGTTTTAAGAGAAGAGAGTCTCACAGAGATGATGTGGCCGCCCAGGCCGTGGGCTGCATCTGCACACTCGATCACAGCGCTGAGCTGAGGGTAGCCCACCCCTGTCTTCTTGCGGGTGGTACACACAGAGCCTGAACAGGGAGACACAGGGGTGAGAAATGACTCACAGGCAACGTAATGTACAGCTGTTGTTTGATCTCTGTGTGCCAGATGAATAGGGGTTGCAAAATCTTCCCCTTTCCGTGAGGTATGTCAAAGTTAATTTAACATGATACAAATAACACGTAGACCTGGAAACGTTAGGGTGTGATTACCTGGTCCGATGCCTACTTTGATGATGTCAGCGCCAGCCAGGATCAGCTCCTCCACCATCTCTCCTGTCACCACATTTCCTGCCTGAGCAAAATAAAAATAAATGACCTGTAAACATCAATTCCATTTGCACATACTTGCAGTTTAAACCTGCACATTTACTGACCATTATTGTGTGAGTGGGGAACTTGTCCCTGACGTCCTTGACAAAGTGAACAAAGTGTTCAGAGTAGCCGTTAGCGACGTCTACACAGATATAATGCAGCTGAGGCACCGCCGCTATAATGGCTGAAACCTTGTCAAAGTCACCTTCTCCGGTCCCGGTGCTCACTGCTACATTCTGGAGATAGACAGAGAAGAGAAAGACTTAAGACCAGCATTAACAAACCAATGGAAATGGTTCATAATAGTTCACACTTTTAGTACCTGCAGGCATTCAGGATTCTTTTTTGCAAATGCCGACCACTCATCCACGGAGTAATGTTTGTGAACCGTGGTGAAGAGAGTGAACTAGACAGAAAAATAAAAACAAGGCAGTTGAGATATTTTTGCAAAAACGATAGAATACGTTGTTATTTTTTTCATATTCTGAACTGACTGAAAAGGCATACATTATTCATTATTATTATTACAAGGATATAGACCCTTTAGAAGTATAGATCCTACACATAAGCCACCAAACATCTCATCTCTGGTAAAGGAAACAAGGCCAGTCCTTATCAGCCTGTGTTTGTAACATAGAGTTAAATAGCAGTGATTCATAAATTGAATTCTGACATGAGTCGCACAAATGTTCTGGGCGTTAGCAGCTGGAGCAAGAGAGAGAAAAGCTGCATATCTCTTTATGTTGGATAACACCTCTGCTATGAATTCAGCACTTCATTACTATGTACTGTGCGAGCTATAGTACTGTACATTCAGCATATCATGATCTATGTATAGTTTTATTAAGACTATGTTAGACACCTCTCCTTCCAACGAAAGGACTACCTTGCTCCAACAACATTGACAAGATTAAATGATAAACAACAACATGTGCTGTATGAAGCCATTTGTAAATAACTAGTAACGTGATGATGCTAACCTTGTGCAAAGCCAGGGCCATCTCAAAGGTCCCCACGGTGTCCATGTTTGCAGCGATGATGGGGATCCCTTTGTAGCTGCCCTTGGAGTTCCTGAAAGTGTAGCTCCGCAAGAGGTCTACCTGCGAAGAGCAATGAGACATCAGTGTACTTAATACTTCTACAGATTTGCTCGAATAGGTTTCACTTAGGGAGAAAAAATCCACAAAACGTACCTCGCTCCTAGACTTTAGTGTGCTCCGCTTTGGACGGAGGAGCACATCCTTGAAGTCCAGCTTGATGTCATCCTCAATGCGAGGCATTTTGGAAACAGGCTTTGCAAGATTTGTATTGTGTAACCAAAAAATGTGAAACTTAGCAAAAATGTGAATCTGTGAGAGAGGAGGAGGACAAAGTTATGGATAATTGGCTTGTACTGTGTCTACTCTTGATTTTTTACACCCACTTTTCCTCTTCTTTTGCTTCCACATATGCTCATATAGGTTTAATACACTAGCTACATCAGGCATGGTGTATGGAAGGAACACATACAATGGAAAAATCCTCCAGAATTAAAAGTAACATGAGTCAAACATTTAACCACCACTTGGTGTGGAGATGATTTAATGCTGGCTAGCATTTTCATAATAATTCTAAAATTCTACTGAAAGACACCCAAACACACCACAAAGATAAGAAAAGCGTTGCTTCTGTAGCCCCTATGTCAACATTCAAGGTTAGCTATGCTACATCGGTGATACGTGTACAAATTATATTCACTTAATTAGCATAGCAACATGTTTAACTAAATACAAACTATTAATAAGATAGTGACGACTTTTTCTTTCCTATGTAGCAAACTAAAGTATTTACCTTTAGGAAAGTGTGGTTGGTTTGTCTGTGCCGCTGGTTGTTTTTCCACTGTGTGCACAGGAAGCCTTTCGAAGGCGCACACCAACTGACAGCCCCGTTGTAGTTTTCAAGGCCTTTATCTAGTAGGCGGTGACGAGCTGAAGAACTACAAACGTGAGACTCGCTTTTCGCCACGTTGGGTTATGTCGTAACGTTTGTTTTAGGTATTCATTAAACAAAGTTGAGTTGTAATGTGGGAGGTACTAACATTAGTGTTGTATAATTTAGAAGGCTAATGCTGTGACTTATAGGCGACAAATAAAGCAAATACGACGACCGAAATCAAGTTGATGCGGAACTGTTGACATTCAAACAAGAAGGATGCGTCATTCAGTGAAGAACACAGGAAACACCCATTGACTTTTTATGCTTTTTAGAAGGGATAACGAGTTTCCTCCCAAAAATACTTATTGTCATTATTGCGTGATCTCATTCTGCTCCTGCTTATTTACAAAATGCTGATTAAAGTAAAGGTAAGGCAAAGCCATCTAAACATATGTTATTACTGCGTTGTGTCTAGGTCTAGTCCCATAATTAGCTAATCATAACCTTTATTTACAATTTGTATCTCAGACACTCACAGGCAAAGAGATAGAGATTGACATTGAGCCCACAGATAAGGTATACAACTATCACCCCCCCCTATATGTGTATGTTAATCTGTGTGTGTTCAAACATGTTTACATTCATTTCCTTGCAGGTGGAGCGGATTAAAGAAAGGGTGGAGGAGAAAGAAGGGATCCCTCCACAGCAGCAGAGGTTGATCTACAGTGGGAAACAGATGTAAGACCCAAAAAACAGTAAAGCGTCATATCATATGCATCAAATACATATTAATCTGCAGCTGAAATTAGAATGATTTACTAGCATCCAGACTAACCTAAAATTAAACTATATGTCGAGGACCTATTTTTGAGTAAAATGTCTTTTTTGATAGTAGATGTTCTGCTGTCTTCTGAACGGCATTTTTATTTCCAGGAACGATGAGAAAACAGCGGCAGATTATAAAATCCAGGGAGGCTCCGTTCTCCATCTGGTACTTGCTCTGCGAGGAGGACAGCTGCTACACTTCCCCAGAAACATACAATCGAAGAATGCATTGTAGTCATTCCTTGGAAACCTGCTGTGCCTACAATGATCGGATACACCTACACCAACACTACATTTGTAGAAAGCGCCCAGGTTCTACTTGTGGCAAACACGTACTGACAGCCACAATATGTTGGCTGCAAACACATCTGTAACAATGGGGAGACACTCCACATGTAAAAGGTGCCCTGGTTGAAAAGGCACAGTCAGAATGAAACAAAGCTGTGGCTTATTGCTGCAACAGAAAACTGTAACGTCACCCTCTTTCTGCATGTAAGCACAAGTCTTTGTCCCACTGATGACAAAACAAACATAACATATACAGATTCTCCAAGGAAACCCCGCCCCTGGATTGCGGTTGTATCCGGAACACAAACTAAGGTTGACTTTTTCATCCATGTTTTATTATGTTTGAAATTGCCCCAACTCACTTTGCTTAATTATTAGAGGCTACTGGGTTTATGAGCATATCTAAATTCATTTTCTTGAGTAAAGCACCCATGTAGATTAGTTAGAAGCTGGACTACAGCGTAGTTAGACCTTCCAGCACTAATTCTAAATCATGTACCACCGAATCCATTCAGTTGGATAATGTTTTACATCATTTCATGTGAATTGTATTTGTTAAGAAAACATTTTTTTGTTGCCGATTTGCACATTGTTCTATTGTAAATGACAAGGAACGTACCAACTATGGTGTTGTCTGACAATGGGCCCAGTTTACATGGATATTGTTAGGTTTGTGTGTTCAGATAAGCAATGTTTTGTTTCGGGATTGCTGTGTCAGCGCCATTAGACCCGACTACAGAATCGAGTGACAAGGACCTACGCTGTGGATTTCTTTTTCAGTAAAATAAACTCTTTTGAAAGCTGAAAATGCCTCACTTTTGCCATTCTGTGTTCTTCAATAAGTCATTTCAAATGTTAAAAACAACTGTACAAAGAAGATCTGTAAAGTCTTTTATTTCTGTCACACGCACACTCAACACCAATATGTAGATTTTTAACTAAAAATAGAGACAGGATGGTAGGTAGACCGCAAACAGCAACTTAATTTAAGACCAATGTGTACACAAAATTATTTAGAAATGACATTATTATCAATGGTGTATTGTACGAGAAGAACTGCTTAGATTAACTGTATACGTGAGTCGTTATAACATAGAAAACTTCATATTTCCACCATATTGAAGGCCAGTTTGGTCTGAATGACAGCAAGAAGTGGAGGTGGCAGCTTATAAGTGAACCTTGAGCATAAAAAAGTTAGATAAGTCAAAACAGAAAATAGATTTTAAGCAGTAAAACAGCAGGTGGAGCTGTTTATGCACAGATGACATTGCTGTGTCACATTAAGTCGCAGCATTTGATATCTGAGGAACCTTCTCCAGGCCTCATTTATGTAAAGAAAGGATGTTGTTGAGAAAGTTTGTGTTGTATGACAAAAAAGAGGTAATACTAATTGAATCACATTGTAAGAAATTATTTAAAAAACTGAATTAGGATACAGACAGAGAGCTTTTAGCTAGAATAAGGCCCTGAAATACAAATTCAAAACGTAGTCAGTGGTTTTTATTTACTAAGAGACAACATACAGACTGTCATGACATCTGTGCATACTGTAAATACACAATAACGCTACAGGCACAAACACAATCTTAGTACTTGTAGAGACACCCTGTTCTCCTCACAGTTCAATAAAAGAAACCTACACAATACTGGCCCAACGTTAACAACACGTTCTTGATACATCTTTTCTAACATGATTATTTATATTATTTTGTGGGTGATTTGGTTGCAAGATTAAAACTCCTGAGGAAATAAATATCTAAAAGCACCAGTACACATGTTTAGCACTAACAGACTGGATTTTAGTCACTTAGGTCTGTTAAGTTTTCATGGTCCGGAGGTTTTAGGCAGTGAATTTAAAGCAGAAGGCAGTGGGGTCGCCCTGAGACACTGACAGATTACAGAAAGTCTGAGTACACAATGTGTTTAGGTGTGTTGGTACTATAATATACAGCATAAGTGAAGATACATAATAACCAGACAGCACAACATGGGTTCAATCAGGGGTGCGTTAAGTCTCTGCACTAACATCTCTCCTAGTGGATTATATGAATTAAAAAATATGTTTTTTTAATGTAAAGCTCTAATAAGACACACTAAATAAAAAAGATTTAAACGCAGCTAAGTGGCAAGCTACAACTATACTTCTTCCGTAAGACAATCAATGCCTCTTTAAAACTGTTATTCGCGCAGGCATTCACATGTGTCGGTGAAGGGATTTCACATTAACAACTCAAATGTGTCGGTGAACACTTTCATGTCTTGCCTATTTATTCTTTCTAGTTTTTTTCTTCCTTGCACAGTTTTAATGGGTTCATTGTCAGTGTAGTGTCCGTACATAATTCCACTTATTTCTTTCTTCCTTAAACATGAAAAACGACCCAAAGGTATGAGAATCAACCATCTCTACACATCAGTCAAAAAATAGTCTATTTTCTAATTAAGGCAATTAACAAAACATGTGCACCATTAACCAATACAATGTACAGATCACACATCAGCTTTCACGTGTACACCTCCACAAGAGTAAAAAAAGTAGATAGTGTTGAATAGAAAAAAAGAAAGAATATCAACAAATTAACATATTGAAACTAACATAAGAACATCTGATATAAACAATTACAAAAGAAGAGAGGGAAACAATTCGGAATCAAAGTCACTTTTAAAAACTAAACACTGCACTTAGTGTACTTCACAACATGAAATGACTTGATCTGATTTTCTGCTTTGACAATTAAAATTACAGCTTTGGTGTGTTCAATGGATGACAGAGCAACATTTACAATGTGGCAACAAAAACCCAAAGAAAATGTGTTTTCGTAGCCATCACAGTGGAGTAAGAGTCTCTTGATAAAAATAAAAATATATGATGCTCTTACAGTAGTAGTGTGCCTGGAGTGTGTGAAGGAAGAGAAGCGGGATGATGATGAAAAAATGTGTGTTTAAGCATGTATTGAGGAGTGGTAAGGCGCTAACCTTTCTTTATTGCACTTTTGAAAGACCCGCAGACAGAAACGTTTGAGGTCAAATGACTCTAAATACGTCATGTTATATTTGGCACAACATTATTGATTGATAGAAAACCAAATATGAAAGACAAAGTGTTGATCAGTAAATCCACTAACCAAAATTGTAAAAATGTGAGCACACCCACGTATGCGTCTGCAAATGTCTGTTTATTCGGGGCAGGTGGGAGATAAAGACTTTAGCAGTCCGCTGATTTGTGGTTGTCTCCGTCCTCCTTGGACAGAGGAGACCTGGCTTCCTTCATTTCCTCTCCTTCATCTCCGCTCCCAATGCTTTTACCCATGGCAGGGTAAACAACTACGCAGAACTTCTGGCCCAAGTACGTCATCTTGTCTGGAAATAGACAGTGACAAAGAGATTTAGTAAGTAAGTAAGTTAAACTTTATTTATATAGCACCCTTCTCAACACAAAGTGCTTTACAGTATACAGTACACAATTCATAGTACAAGTATAAAATGTAGAATAAAAAGCATAAAACACAGCAGGTAAAACACAAGATAAAACACCAATGAAAAACGGCTACAAACACACCTCCTCCGGCGCCCTAAAGGTCTGGGGGAGTTTATTCCAAAACCTTGGGGCCACCGCCTCAGAGGCACGGCCCCCCTTAGTTAGGACAGGTGCAGTAATGTATGAAGAAAAGTTCTAGATAATATTATACAAAAATACAATATTTCTGCCAATTCAGTATGAGAGGAGAACTAGGAGGCAATTAGCTTAGCTTAGCATAGAGACCAGAAACAGCTAGCCTGGCTAGTTTAAAAATATGCTTAGTAACAAGAATTGCTTCACCAAATAACTGGCTCCTTAACCCAAATTTGTCGTTTTACATTTCTGTTAGAGTACTGGTATGGGCTTTAGAGGTGGTTGCAGGCATATATTTTGAATTATGGACACAGCCATGCTAGCTGTTTCCCTAAGCTTCCAGTCCTTATGCTAATCTAAGTCTCTCAAATGTTCCAAAAATGTTGACCAATTCTGTAGTCTTGCCCAATTAGATATAATGAATTTTTGTCTAGAATAATAAAACACATTTCACCATGAATGGTAAAAAAACAACCAGCCTGTGATAAGCTAACTCACCAACAAAGTTGTTAAAGCACTGTGGCTTTTTGTCCCAGTAGATTCCCAGGAAATAGACGGGGACGCCAGTCAGCATGATGGCCAGGCCGATGCCACACACGACGGGTTCGGAATAAAGAGAGAAGATGAGCAAGAAGGCCCAGAAGACGAGGTAAATAACCGGCCAGATTAGGTTGATCTGGAATAGAGAACAAAGAAATAATGCGTTACACTTAGGCAGAGACCATCATTTTATTATTTCTATCATTTGTATAGTTTACAGACAAAGCTTAAATTTGGCAAAACCATAACATTCACACACCTTGATTGGTCGGTGCAGGTCGGGTTGAGTATATCGCAGGACGATCTGCCCGGCAACAGTGACTCCGTAGAAGAGGTAGTTGATGAAGCCCACATAATTGATGAGGGTGTACATGTCACTGGTGCACAGCATAAGTAGGGTGGACAGGCACTGAGGAAGAAGAAGAAGGAGAAGAAGAGGAGGGTCAGAAAACAGGACGTATGCGGGTTGTACGCAGCTTCAGTGTTTATGTGAGGAAGATAATATACAAAGCAGTGTGTTGTTGAGGAAGGTACTCACAGTGAAGAGCAAAGCAGGGATGGGAGTGCAGCGTTTCACATGAATCATGGCTAGCAGCCTGGGCAGCTGGCCCTCTCTGGCTCCAGCGAAGAACAACCTGTGAGAAGAAAATTCCTTTAATTCATGTACAGTATTTAAGTCTGACACTACATGCACATAATGAAAATAAAGACTAGAAAGTGTAACGGATGGATTAAACATAAGGAAGCCTAGTCAATTTGGAGCCTATAACTTCTTCTTTATCTTAAAGTGGTTCTTGTGGAGTAGCTGACATAGTATGACCAATACATTGAAAGTTGTAATGGGACTAACTCACCTTGAAGAGGTGAAGAGGGAACCGTTGACTCCTCCAAAGGTGGAGAGAGCCACAGAGATGGGCATGATCCACGACATGACTCCCAGCAGCTTCTCACCGAACGTCTAGGATGGAGGGGTTGGAGGGTGGATGAAAGGAAGAAGACACAAACACGATGGTTACACTTCCATTTCCTCACTATAAACCAATGAATGACCAACACATGCATCTCACTAGAGGGCGTCATTCTCCTCCATAGGTGTCTGAAGGAAGTTACAAGACCACCTTTACTACATCATGCTTCGAGATACTCACCACTGCCACAGCGTTTGAGGCGAGCAGCTCCGCGGGGCTCATGGCCGTGACGTAGGCGATGTTGGCGAAGACGTAGACGAAGGTCACAAGGGGGATGGAGATGAAGATGGCACGGGGAAGGTTCCTGGAGACGATGGACACAGTCAGGTTTGGAAGACAGAATGGGTGGGAAGGTAAAGAGCAGTGACATGGGGGGGATTTGAAGCAGGAAATTAAACATGTTACCTGAGGGCAGGTGTATTAATGGATGCCAAGGTTATTAAACAAAACATGGGATTGATGAGAAGACAGAAAATGCAGAGGAAATGAAGAAATAAACCATTCAATTGGACTTGAAATGTTTCTAGCAATCGCACTGGGGATGATGTGGAGAATGTATCCCATGCTAAGTTAAATCAATTTCAAAGAGCTTAAGGGAAAGGGATTAAACTGGGAAGCTAATTTGGAATGCATCTGCTTAAAAGGGAATAGCTGCGTGGAGCTCTGTACTGTTGGAAGGTGGTTTTCCTGCCACAGAAATATTCCTAGATACATGAGAAGCGTAATGAAGTGTCTTACACATAGGGGTCCACCAGCTCCTCTGTGACGTAGTTCAGGAAGTTCCACCCTCCGTAGGCGAAGGAACCTTGTAGGAACGCTAACGCTATCAAGCCCACATCATACTCCTGGAACGGCTCGAAGGCATTGGCTGGCTCCAACCAGTAGTACTCTCCTACGGGTGGAGAAGATGAGATTAGTTTGGTGCAGCAGCATTTTCAAATAGCAGAACATCCACTCTCCCAGGTTTTCTGTGTCCCTTAAGTCTGTTTCTATGAGCCTATCAAACACAAGGAGGTCTGTTTCTTTGCTTTTAGGGTAAATAAATCAGTTTCCATTTCATTTCTATGCTTGCTGTGAGGTAACCCAGCTGAAAACCATCACCTAATTCCATCAGTGAGTGTAAAACAAGTTGCAAAACACATTGTGCTCATTCCCTGTGAAGTGTCTTTCTCCCTCCTTTCTCCTTTGTCATTACATTTCCCCCTGAAATCCCTTCTTAAAGCATGTTTTCATAGAGCGTTAAAGTATGTCTACTCTCACATACCGTCCCTCGTGTACCCAGCCACTGAACTCTGTTCTTTTAACTTCAAACACTCGCACGGAAACCGCCGTTCTGTGGTTTCATGGGGCCTACTTTCTGTGGCCCCTGTAATAACTGTCCCTCAGCATTGTTGTGACAGCAAACCCACACAGGCGAGCGGATATAAGCAATGTGAGTGTAAACCAAAAGGGGCCCCAGAAACTCCCTGAACTCTTCAGATCCACGGGGAGTCCATACTGTCCCATGCAGTGACTGAAGAGGACCTCGCTGACTGCAAGTGTGACTTTTACAGGAGGGACAAATGATAGAAATGACTTACCCTTGCAGATCTGCACGAAGCCCATGATGATGATGAGGGCGAGGGCCAGCAGCTTGCCGGCGGTGAAGATGTCCTGAACTCTGGTGGCCCACCTCACACTGGAGCAGTTCACCCAGGTCAGCAGCACTGGAGAAAACACAGTCAAGTTAGTGATTATTTTACCCCTTAAAATCCAGTTTTCCTGTTATTTTCCTCTTAAATTAGCTTTAAAGTTGGCATAATTCCCAAATGTCATGCTGTCTGATATTTATATATTATATTCTGTACATTTACTTGCACCGTTTGTTAGATTCAGCACGTTTTGGGCATTATTTTATATACATTTCCACTCAAATTTGGTGCCTATTTGGCTGATTCATATTGATGAGTCGGCACTGACAAAAGGTTGGGAAATGATTATGTTTTAATAAGTTAAGTGATAGATAAGGGTTTATGTGTATTTGTTATTGATTTCGTAAAGGAACTTCATTGTTTTATTAGTCATTCTCTTTCCCAAGGGAATAAAACGCTTTTTTGTCACTTATAAACCCGCAAGACAGTTAAATTCAGGTCAATAACCTTGCGGTTTTCTTGAGAGAAAGTGAGCTGATAACAGGACAGGGCGTGTGGGAAGATGTGGCACGTGTCTTAACATTGCACTGCTACGACCTTTGACCCTGCATCATGGCATTGAACTTCACCCGTTATCTCTCACAGTACACCTAATGTCTTACCTGCACTAGCAGATACAGATACAAGTTTTTTTCCACCTCTAAAATAATAATGCATCTTATAATGATACATTTTTATGATTTTTTAGTCCTTCATGGTTATTCTTTTTAATGTTGTATGGCAAACTCCACTCCTTTAGCAATAAAAAAGCAACAAAAAAAGCACCAAACATATTTGGAAAAGCCATTAAGCTCACTTCAAATGACAGACAAAGACATTGGATTGAACATGTACTGCTGGGTACAAGAGGCCAGTGGGTTCAGGCCAATAGGGTGCCATTAAATAATAGGCCTGTTTGACTCTTAGGGATTAAGTTGATCAAATTAAATGAGTCTGAGCAGAGCTGCCACTGCAGGAAACAAAAGCAGACGCAGACGATCAGACATGCATGGGTCTGTATGAAGTTGTAGAGACGTATTCTTGTGGTTTGTGGTTAGTTACTGGGGCTTTTGGAGAGGGTGAAGGGGAAATTTGTAAGTTCAACATCCTGCAGCGTCATTACAAATGAGCCGCAGAGCGTGCTGCTTTTACAACCCCCCCGGAAATTTGACATTTTGAACACACCGGCTTATGATTTGTCTAGCTGCCTATACACGCAGACATAGTAAACAAAATACAACTGAGTCCCCTCCTAATCCTTTCCGCCTACTGACAGGCTGCGAGTAAACACCTGAGGACACATTCAGCGAGACGAGGGGGGGGGCGCTCAGCTGTTCGTAAGCTGAGTATACAAAATGTGTGTATGGAAACTTGCTGAGTTAACCTCGAGCTTGCTGGAAAACATGACAGTTATGACCTCGCACTCTGCAGACGGACCCCCCCCCCGCCTGTTTTTGAAATGGTACACCTTTCACATTGAAGCGGCTGCCAGTGACCGGCGGCATCTGGTTCGGTCCTTAAATCTGGACTGGATTGGTGAGTAAATATGTAAGGTTATATCCTGCACTCTATTATATACAAATCTGCCAGGGTTCGGATTTAGGAAATCGCAGAAATGTCAAGCAACAACAACAACAACAACAACAATGAGGTCAGAGTTGATGAAAACGGCTAACCTCTAACTCACTTTTACTCATGAACAACAACATCAAAACAGGGAGAAAACATATTTTTACTGAAAACTACCTGACATCACCTGTCAAATGGACTTCTTTCTAACAGCTGAAAGCAAACCAGTCATAACTGCTAGTGGTTCATGTCAGAACTAAGTTTGTTTTGCTTCAGTCGGTCATGTAACTGGGACAAACAAAGACAGGTAAAAAGAGGTCAACATTTCTAAGCCTAACAAAGAAAGCCTTCAGATGGATTTAAAACGTGTTATTACCATCGTTAGAATGTTTGTCTGTAGGTAAGCCGAAATTCTCAGAAGCATACCAGAAGGTTTTAATGAAACTGGAGGAAAGTCAGGTGCAAATGCATGTGCAAAATAACAGGTCACATCAATCTATCCTGCTAAAGGGCGACAGTATTTATGAATGACAGATTTTCTTTACAAAACTCTAATGTCTTCCTGCTAATTTCATTTTAACTTTACCAAATGTGATACATTTGCACTCGACATGAAATCTATTGCAATGTTTTTGAGGTACCCCTCTGACCGACTAACGCCATTCTTTCTCTGGCGTAGATCATTACAGTAAGTAGTGGATCTCTTGGCTCGCTGCGTACAAATGAGTGTGTTGTAGTGCATGCCTTTGGAAAGTGAGATTTCCACTTATTCGAGCCAAACAGGGCGGCCAACTGAGCCCATCTGCCAGTGAACAGCATGTCACAAGGCAGCCTTTCCAAACCCCTTGGAGATCAGTATGAGGGAGAAAAAACACGTCTTTTTACGGAAGATCTCTGACCCCGACCACCTGCATGCAACAGCCCGTTTCTATTTTAACTCAGCATTATTTTGTGGGAAAAATGTACAAAAATAAAAAAAAAGGACCTGTTTGTTTTCCCTCTGCAAACATGCGTCATTATTCCCCCTCTAAATGTAGTGTATTTATTCAACAGGTGAGAAGAGAACAGTGGTGTTTTGTAATCCTCTGCAAAGTTCCCAGCAATGCATACATAAACACACCGACAATACACACACTCTTCTCCAGAGTCCAGAGCTGTCTGTCTCTCTATCTGAAGGCTGCCTGCAGTATGTGGTCGGTGTGTGTGAACCGAGGGATTTGAATGGACCAGTGTGATGTCAGCAGCAACACGTTTACCCATTGTCGCTACAGATTCACTGCTCAGTGCTAACACGTCTCAGCGGCTATGCTATCCTGTATTAGATGGCCTCTGAATGACAGAAGAGCTTCAGGGAATACACTGGGACATAAGCAGGAACATTCAGCCATCTGCTGCTCGCAAACATAACTTGCAAACAACTTTGAGGATGAAACTGAATCCTACAAGCATGAGCTACTATTACATTTGTTCAGCAACCTGTTTCAAAGTGTTTACCTGTCTATGTGTCAGAAAACTAAAGTGCAATCTTGGATCCCTTGGCAGTTTTTCAACATGTCAGCCTGTCTCGACATGCACACTCAAAACAGAACTTTGAGTCTTTTTTTCTATTTCATGAGGCTACTTGCACTCTCTTATATAATCAAAACCGAATCTACTGTATGTTGAGCCAATAGCTGCTTCGCCATTACATTTTTAAAAGGGAAATAATTCAATTTGTAATATTTTTCTTATATTTGAGAGTCAAAGTGTAACTCTTAGAAATTAGGTTCATAAGACACCAATATATTTAACTTAACCATAACAAATGTAAGAATGCTGTTGTAGTTATTAGCAGGTATTTTGGCAGAAAACAAAGGAAAGTTTGTCAGTGACAAATATATATATATTCTGCAACACAAACACTGTTACTATTTCAAAATGTATTTTTACATGTATTGTTTTCCCTCTTGGAAACAAGTTGAAACCATTTCAATGAAACCATCCAAGGAACATCCCGCCCCTTGTTGGTTGAAATGTTTGCAACACATGGATATTTTGTCGCTGTCCCGTTAAATGTTCTGATCTTTTTCTCCATGAGAAAGCAAACTATTCCTTTCATGCTCTCATGAATCCAGCAGAGACAGAGTGTTGCCATACAGGAAAACAAGAAATACAGCAAATAATTTGGACGTTTGGCTTACATTTTGGTATAACATTGCTCTAAATACCTGTGATAAATACTCCTATTATGATAATGACTCATGCCTGACACCCACAACTGGTCACACTTGTAACGTTTACATTACATGTCACTTGTTAGACACTTTTATCCAAAGCGACTTACATTACTGTAGGCAATCCCCACAGGAACAATTTGGGGTGAAGTGTCTCAGGGACACAACGACATGCTGACTGCAGTGGGGTTTGAACCTGTGCTCCCCTGATCCGAACACCAACGCACAACCCACTGCACCACACACCTCCCTGACAGAGCCTGAATTGTTATGTTCTTATCTAGCATAGTTGGGCATCAACATCTGCACGTGTTGGTGTGTAAACATCTGTATGACTCACAGAGGCAGACGGCAGCCAGCAGACGCAGGCCGTTCTCCGGAGGGAAGCAGGTGGGGAAGAGAGGCTGCAGGACGTAGTTGGAGAACGTCAGCGCGATCACGGCCTGATTGGTCGGGTAGATCACCAGCACGGCGATCCAGAGGCGCAGGAACCTGAGAGAAAAAGGAGTTACAAAAGGTTACAAACACAGAAGCATGGGAGGAACAGCAGGGGGGGAGAAGAGGAGGAAACACATCACAAAGGCACATGGCACGTATACATCCTTCCATTTACTGACTCTCATTCAAAGCACTTTGTTTTGGGTCGAATTTATTTGCTTGACCTCTCATAGTATTAGCCAAACACGCTGTTGTATGGCTTTGAATTAACACTTTTGATCTCTTCAATTTTTATGTTTTAGGACAGGATCAAAAATATGGAGAGATATACTGTGGCACCGAGACAATGATTTATGGATCTACAGCTGACAAATCACTAACAATTTTTCGTAATCAATCGATAATTTTAGTCAGTTATAACGCATAAAACCAGTTCCAGGCGGTTTTTATTATTTTTTTTGTCATTTAAAATTAAATATCTTTAGGTTTTTCAGAGAATTAAGCTATTTCAAATGTCACATTGGACTATAGGAAATCATGAGGCGTATTGTTTTGCCATTTGTCGACAGATATATTGAATTCTCATGACAAATCAAACGGGAAAACCCATGCTCTTAATGTGATTCTGATATGGAAACTTAATGGCTCATACCATACTAAGTGATCAGGTCTGTGCATTCATTTCCAGTAATAAGCACATGTGATTTCCCCTAATAATTAAGTTTAATGTCAATAATGTCATTTAGTTTAGACCTACAGCAGTTAACACCTCTGAGAAAATGTCAGCTGGGTGCCTAGTTAAAGTGAAGTGATGACTGATATTAGTCAGTGTGTGTTCGCTGTGGTAGAAACGGACAGGATGAGTCACAAACTGATGCAAGCCATGTCAATAGTGACACAGATTGGCCGCTGGAGCGTGGTGGGGGGGGAGATGAGATGTGGGAGATCATGAGGGTTTAGCTGAGTTCAGCAAGAGAAACCAGACGAGTGGTTTTTCCACCAAATTCCCTGAAAGCTTATAGAGGGATCATTACACCTGACTGAGTTAACAGGCTTATGTGTCACTGGAATGCGTGTGTGTTTAATGTAAAACATGTATATTTAACGCAGGTGGACGCCTTGTTTTAGGCAAAAGCGGGAAAAAGTAACATTAAACATACTTTCTTTTAACCTACATTTTTTGCCTATTTTAGTAAACTTCCCAGGGGAGTTATTGTACTTTTCACTATACATGTATTATACTATGTTATTATAAACCACTTAATTAACCATGACTAAACTTTTTCTAAATTCTATAATAGTCCTTCAGTTTGGAACAAATAGAGGATTTCGAGGCATGAGCCACATTGATTTATCTTTATATCCCTTTATCATAAACCCGGTCTAACCCCCCTAACCCAATGAGTCCCTTCCATCTGTATATTAGTCCATATACGGCGCATAATGTCAGACACAACAAAGGGCTTTGTACATGAAACGCTGTCCATTCAAGTCATGTTTGAGTTTACAACTTTACGAGCTCTTTCTTGGAAATCGCCATCGCCCAGCAGCGACAAAGTGACGTAGCTATTTCCTTTACCGTTACTGACCTATAGGCTACAGCGCACATACCTACTTCCCCCCAGGCCCAAATTGAACACATAGGCATGAAAGGAGAATGACAACAGAAAACAAACACCGCTTGAACACGGTTTATTTATCCTAGCCGGCGTGTATTGATAGCTACTGTACAAAGGGACGAAAACAATGATTGGCTGTTTCGTCTGGTTGAATTCCTCTCCCAAAATACCCCGATAATATGTACCCTTGTGATATTTGAAAAAAACAAAACAATGGTCTAATCTGTGTTTACAGTCTGGGCAAAGGCACAATGTGTGAAACTACGCGAGCAAACAGCATTGTTTTTGTTGGCGATCAACCTAGCGTGGTTCCTAAGAGTTAACTATAAGCTAAGTATTTATGGATCAATGGAAGAGATGTATGGGAAAACCAATTGATACAAATACTACCCAGCGGACATAAGTAACTGTCTGAGTTATTTTTGGCTGTCTGAGCATCTACTGTTCAAACATCCGAGTCAGTATTTGCTCCAGGTTTAAAAAGCAATAAGACCCCCCTCTTTGGATCAAGATGTCTGACCTGAATGAGCGGGTTTATCCACCAGGATAAGGAGAAGAATCTAGACATGTTGGTATGCTCACCTAAATCCATGTCAAATTAACTTTAAGAGAGGCTGCTTCTTTTATAAAAGTGGCTCATATTCTTATTAGACAGCAGTTTTGACCCGGGGGTTTATCAAACCTCCGTGAACTGAGAATCAGACAAAAGGTTTTTCCTTAAAAATACGAAGTTTGAACACAAAAACTTCCGTCATTTCTAAAAATGATGCCTGAAATGAACATTTAATTATTATGAAAACAGCGTCTGTGTATTGCTAATGGCACGCGGTGTTCAAGTGGAGACAAACCACCAGATTGAAATCTCTAAATGTTAAATAAAAAACACCTGACAAACTGTTTCCTGTATATCCAACCTATTATCACAACTCTGCTTACTACTGTTAGATGTCAGCTGCTTCGATGTATCCCCTTCCTGACTCATATCCCACCTTAAAATGCCATAGGAAAACACACACTCTTTCTAAGTAAGGCCATGACTGAATGTCTCACCCTGCCAGGCCTCCGAAGATGTCCTTCACGTAGGAGTAGTCTCCTCCAGATTTGGGGATGGTGACGCCCAGCTCGGCGTAGCACAGCGCCCCGATGGCCGTGATGACCCCCGTGACGATCCAGACGATGAGGGCCATGCCCACCGAGCTGGCGTTCTCCATCACTCCCTTCGGACTGACGAAGATACCTGAGCCGATAATGTTACCTGGCGGAAGGGAGAGAGGAGGGGTGTCAGGTTACAGCGGAGTGGATTATAAAACAGGTTGTCGTCAGAAGGGTTGTGAGAAACTGTAGTGTTTAAAGCGGGTTATTTGTCATGTTATGTTATTGCTTCACAGCCTGGATTACAAACTAGAAGAGTGGGGTTTGAAAAAGGATCGCATTCATGAGGCAGGGAGTTAAAAACATGCAGTAGCATTATGGGAAGTGTAGGATGTAGTATTTTGGTGCTTCACCCACTTTGGCGAATACAAATTAAAACATTTCCGCATCTTCTTTGCTAAAGTTGACCATCATTAAAGAAACGTCTCAGCCAAACGGCTCGCTGCACCCTCGCTGCGAGGGGGACGCAAGTTCCCATCAGCAAAAACACGTGGGTTTGCTATCCTGGCTCCAAAATGGTGGAATGAGCTCCCCATTGACATCAGGACAGCAGAAAGCTTACACATCTTCCGGCGCAGACTGAAAACTCATCTCTTTCGACTCCACTTCGAGCGATAGAACTATTAACAAAGCACTTATATACTAATAAAGGACTGGCTTATCTAAAGCCAGTTGAGTAGCACTTGAAATGTTTTAGCTCTATGAAACCTGATGTACTTATATGATTCTGTTTTCTTCAAGTTTGTATCTTCTTGGTTGAATGCACTTATTGTAAGTCGCTTTGGATAAAAGCGTCAGCTAAATGTAATGTAATGTAATGTGTCTCTTGCAAGACTCACTACTGTAGATTTCAATGAGATCTGCTCTCATGTCTAGGTGTTGAGTAAGAGCACGGAGGAAATTAGCCTAGCTTAGCATAAAACTAGAAACATGAGGAAACAGCTGGCATAACTCGAAGAAAAATTGCGCCATTTAATGTTTTTTTGTGACCTCAGCAGACAGATGGCATCAAACCTGGCAACCTGCCTGAGACAACAAACTTCCAGGAAATCACTCTGACTGTTAACCACAATTAAATAGTCGCTGCATAAAACCACAAACCTGTTTTTTAATCCACCAAAATAAACAACAGTTACAACATGTTAATCAATTGTTTGATTAACATGTTGTAACTGCTGTTTATTTAAAGCAGCTGAGCTATCAGGCAAACGTGTAATCTGCTGATTTAGCACAGAGTTATTAGTAGATGGAGCAAGACAGGGAGTGGCGTGAAAGAGTGCAAGGAGGAAGGAGGGTTGTCTGCCCTGACAGACCCAATGAGCATCAGAGTGCCAGGCATTTCACACCAGAGCTGAGAGATGGAGGGACAGAGAGTTTGGGTTCTGGTCCAACATGAAAAATATCGCCATGCACTCCCAAATGTTCGATTAGGCTACAACGAAGACGAAGTTAGCGAGACTCCAATCACTGGGTTGACGGCGCTATAAACCAACAGCTAATAAAAAAAAGCGTCAGGGTTAAAGGTGGAAGGTTTTTAATCATAACTGGATGATAGGATAAGTGGCCTTTAACAGCACAGTACAAAAGTCAAAGATATGAATGACACTAAGCCTGCAGAGTAAAAAAAAGTGCAGAGATTGCATTATGTCAAACTACAACTTCCAATAAACTACAATACATAACTTGGAGCTATATATGCAGGCAGGTGTGAGGACATAAAAGTGGTGGTTAACATGTTTTAATATGACATTTTTATACTAATGGTTGCTTCTCAATTGGATGATTTGTTGCCGTTATTATACTCTTGAAATTCTCTATTCTCTGGAGAAATCTGAGGGGTTTGAGCTATTAGACATGCACATCTGGATTCCATTGCATCTTCAGGATTCTAAAATCATTAAGGTATTAAATCTAAAGATTAGGTCAGATTAAAAAAAATCCTCGCAGACAAACACATTGAAATGGAATAGCAGCATCAATCCCCCAAGGGAGAAGACTTCACTCTGCTTTCTCAGATCGGTTCAATCTAAAGAAGAATGTGCACATGTGTCCGAAGCATGACGGCGTGCTATGGGTTTAAAGAATCCATATGCATCAGTGTCTGGCTCACTTATGTAACTCCAGCTGCAGGTAATATGTAAAAGAGACGGCCAGCAAAGCATCACACACTCCTGATGTCGACATGTTAATGGCTGCTGTGGTCTTCAGTGCATGACCTTTGACCTGAAACAAAGCAGCTATGCATTGACTCAGCACTTTCCTCAGTGGCAAACTCCCTGCTAGACTTCTGCAACTAACGTTCGCAGAAGCAGATAAAGGTCAATTGCTGCCACTGGTTGAAATTAGTCAATATTTGGACTTTTATGTAAGGGTTTGTTTTTTATACGCGCAAGCACACGTGCACGCTTGCATCGTGTGTTCGTGTCATGTGCATCATTAGGCGTGAGAGACATGCTGACTGTGTGGAATCTCCTCAGGTTTCCTGTTCTTGTGCTCGTTTTGACATCCTTCTGACTCCAGGCAGACAGGGAACCGAAAAAACAAACTCTTTTTGACTTGAATTCAGGCCTTGCTTGTATCTGTTTAAGAAGCAGAGAATAAGAAGTCTAAAAGTTCCAATCTCTCATGGCAGCGTGCATCACAACTACCCTCATGTATCTTATTTCTGGGTCTTTTTACAAATGCATGCAGACTCTTTTAGCACAGGATATTTTGATATCCTCCATTGTTATCGGATCGTTTATTCACAAAGGAAGGGGCCTGGTCTCAGACATGCTCTGTGAGCACATTTCTGTTCTTCTCTGATTTTGTTTCATGCCTCCTGATGGAAACAGGCTAAGGCTCCTCTTCAGACTTCACACAATGTATACTTCAAAGTCTCGTACAGCTCTCGGGCTATCTCAGATCCTATCCATTATCTCGTATATTGCATATTTGCTGTTTTTCGTTACTACCTGGTCAACTTAAAGGCATTTACATTATCATTTAATCTGCCAATCACATTCACAATTTAGTCTAGAAATGTAAGGATGTAGCAAAAATGGAGGCACACTATAGGATATACATTTTGCATCATCTTTCAGCCGCTCATACCCGTGTCACCACGTAACGCTAACCCTTTCAACAAGCATGAGAGTGTTTGTGCTGCATTATGATAAAACCCTGATCAGACTTTAGAAAGCCCTCTATGATTAGTTCTTGCATTTCCACCCGCCGTTAAATCCTTGTTCAAACAGCCACCAAGCTGGGGCAACCTGCTGCTTGGCCTTCAGCCACACACTCACAGACTCCGCAGGAACCGTGTGCATGCGTGTGTGTGTGTGTGTGTGTGTGTGTGTGTGTGTGTGTGTGTGTGTGTGTGTGTGTGTGTGTGTGTGTGTGTGTGTGTGTGTGTGTGCGTGTGCGTGTGTGTCATTACACTAAAGCAATTTACAACAAGGAAGCAATTTACGAGAAAGAGGAGTGTCATCAAGACTTCTGATTGCGGA